CGGAAGGGCCAGAGCAGCCCAGCTCATTACGGGATCGGATGTCAGCACGGAACACAGGCCGGCAGCCTCGTTTATTAGAGCGTTCAAGAAGGGTACAGGGAGGACAGCAGAGAAGTCTCAGGGCTGCAGGAGTTTAAAAACTGCTCTCAGCGCTCTGTCACGCGAGCACAGCCCTACGGAGCTGTTGTACAGAGTCAGCAGCAGCACAGGCCGAGTGCCGGGACAGACAAACAGAACACCAAGTCAGGACCAGCCTCAGCTATCGACAGCCACCACTACTCTTCACCGAGACACGAAATGAAAACCTACGAGCCCAACTGCTTCCACTGCAGGCAACTGTGCCGAATTGTCCATTAATAGAAAAGTCAGTAGTAGAACAACTTTCTTCAAAGAAAGAAAACCACCAGCCATACATACTGCATTCTAGGATGTAGTGATACTAAGGTTACACTGGAAGAACAAGTTTTCCAGAATTTAAAAAAAAAAAAAATTATGTGTAAAGTATAGTTCTTTATATCCATCGTGCTTTTTATGTTGCAGGGATCTTTGGCAATCCAAATTCATCCACCAGTACACCATCCTGTAAAAAAGAAAAAGAAACAACAGATTAACATCTTTCCACCAAGCAGAACACTTCACAAAAGTTTCCTTACAGTGCCTGTGAAGTGACTTATCTGTCACTGCCACTGTGTGACAGATGGGATCGAAATAAGAGCATCAGTATTCTTTTTCACTATGAAGCTACATTAAAAGCAAACATACAGAAGACTTCCTTACGTTTGTAAAAATAACTATACTAGAAGCTGTAATGGTACACTTAAATCCTACTTGCAGTCTGACAACAATTGGCAGGGCTTACAAAATGCCAGTTTAGATCTTTAAAATATCATAAAGATCATTAAGCACACTGCATTCTCACATTTATCGTCCAAAGCACATAAAACATTTGGAGCTTTTTTTAAAAAAAAAATATTACGAGTTCCAAATATCAAGGAACCAACACAAACGCGACTGATCCAAAACAACTATGAAAAAAAGGTATTTTGCTTTCAAAGAGGAAAGGAGGACTCACTTTATTTTTTGTATCAGTAGGAGTGACTTCTGGGATTGCTGGAGCAGATGCAGCTTCATCTAAGTAGGAATTGTCTTCATCAGCTAGAAGTTCATCACCTAATGCATCCAGTTCTGAAAGTGAATTACGCTGGTTGAAAAATTACGCAGAAAATTCTTTTGCCAAAAAACAAAAGTTGCTCTTACAGAGAAACAGGATTCATCCTTGAATGCCTACTATCACACTCATTCAGCACTAGTCATCAGTCAGGAATAGACACACCCCCCCCAGAGAACCTTCTTTCCTGCACTGTAGCATTCCATTAGCGTATCTCTCATGTTTGTCTCATACTCGTTAACTGCTCTTAAAGAAAATGCAGATTTTATGTTTAAAAAAGTGATTAAAACTTCTTGGGTTTTTTTAAACACACTTAAAGTATTTGACTAATGAAATCAAAAATCACTGCATGACTTCCTAACCTGCTTCCAAGTCATCTTCATCAATCTCTGGTGTTCCATAGCTACGACTCAGTGCCTCCTGGACTTCATTGGCTTCTTCCATCATATCCTCTAACTGATCTTGTATGTCCTGAAGCGAGAAACAAGAAACAATTTCAACTGGTCCATATTAGTTTTAGTTAAGTTTATCAGAGCTTAATCATATTCAGTTTGATAATTCCAACATACAAGGCACTCAAATTTTTTTAAGACATAAATCATTTTCGAAGCAGCACTAATACAAGTCAAATACATTCATTCAGTACTGTAGTATGGCCTTAATAACTATTAACTATAATAAAGATATGAGGTAGAAAAAGAGAAACCTTGAAACAACTCTGCAGAACCTTTTTTTTTTATTCCTCAAAGTATTCCTCAGAGTACATGGAAAAAGCTCTGATAAATTATCCGGAGTCCATCACTATCTTGAAAAGCAGGAGAGTATGAAATCTAGAGAAAATAAATCTGTTGCCTGGAGAATATGCACTAACCTGAGTCATGCCACCGCAAAATTCACAATATACTTCAGCGTACCCATTGGCACTGTACTCGGGCACTAGTAAGGAGACAGTACTTACCTAAAGGTTTACAATGCAGGCCATAGATAAAAAGCAGCATAGGAAAAAAAGAACTTAAAGGAACTCAACACTAGCATTTGATAAAAGTTTAAGTGCAGCAGAATTAGGCGTTACAGACCTCGTGAAATTAATTTTTTTGTTCGTTTTCAGGTGGAGTTTTCTTTGGTTGCTTTTGTTTTGAGGTTTTGTTCTTTTTTGACTTTGGCACTACCTTGAACTGGGGGAGCAAAGGACTAATATGCATGTGGCTAACGTGGAGAGTGTGGGGGAAAAGAGGGCAAAAAAGCCAGAGCAGGAAGTATTCACCAAAATTTATGCTGAAGTGCAGAGGAACAGAAGTGACAGATTAAAGATTAGCCCAGCAAGGAAACAACGAGTGCTGTAAGGCTAACGACTTACTGCGCAGTATCAGAGAAATCAGAAAGGAATTTTGCTCTTGGTCCCATAAAAGAGGGAGGCAAACATGTGAACTCAAACAGTCATCTCAAGTTACGTAGTCCACTCCTCACTATTACAGTACATTGTTACTGTTCTTTAGTTATTTAAATTATAGAAGCTCACCTCAATTTGATCAATTTTGACTTGCTTGTAAGCTTTCTTCATTTCTTTCACCCCCAGTTTCATTGCATCAACCTAAAACAGTCAAACAACATGCTTGTATCTGATGTGGCATTCACAAATTAAGGAAATGTGAGATTAATATAGTGGTACCGTTGTCTTTGTATCCTTCAGTGCCTGAATAGTGTAATTAGCTTGTTCCATATTAAAAGACTGCTGTGATAGATTATCCCTCTGTTGTTCATACCTGTTAAAAACAATGCAAATAATAGCTTTAAAACACCATAGTATTTATTGCCACAAAAATTCTGATTTTTTAAAAAACTAGAAAA